AACTCTGTCTGAATTGTTTCCATTTCCGTCTGCTGCTTTCTCGTGCGTCGCTGGGGCATGGCCAGGAATGCGCCTGGGGCCTCGGGGGGGGCCTGAGAGAGGGGTGGGGCGCCGTTTGGTCAAAATTTCGATTGTGTGACCCCTCGCACAATCAGATGCATGACAAGGGGGGAGGGTTTGCGACCTGGAGTGGGGGGCAAAACAGACATGTTCGTTGCTTGCTTGTGTTGCCTCCCTGCGCCAGTGCCGTAGCTTCGGGGGGGGCCTGAGAGGGGGGGGGCGCCGTTTGGTCACGATTTCGATTGTGTGACCCGTCGCACAATCATATTCGTGACTAGAAGTGGAGGGTTTGCGACCTGGGGGGAGGCAGAAAAAAAATGAAAAAATGAGAACCCAACATTTGTTTTTTTGTTGCCCCCCCCCCCTGCGCCAGTGCCGTAGCTTCGGGGGGGGGGGAGAGAGGAAGGGGGGGCGCCGTTTGGTCACGATTTCGATTGTGTGACCCCTCGCACAATCAGATTCGTGACAAAGGGGGAACGGTTTCCGACCGGGGAAGGGCTGAAACAAAAGGAAAAAAAAAAAAACGCAACCCCAACATATGTTTTTTTGTTGCTTCCCCCCCTTTGCGCCAGTGCCGTAGCTTCGGGGGGGGCTGAGAGAGGAGGTTGTGCGACCCATCGCACAATCAGATTCGTGACCAAATGAGAGGGTCTGCGACCTGGCGGGGGGGGCTGAAAAAACCAGTTGTTGACCCCCCCGACGCCAGTGCCGTAGGCGCGTCTGTGCCATCCTCTACGGGTCTGCGCCCTTGCCGCAAATTCAAAAACAATAAGAGGATCGTGTGCCACCCCGACCACTCCACACCACCCTCCGCCTTCGGTGGCCGTGTAGGCCCTGTTCACCACCACCAATCCCCCAGCATTGCAATCGCATTGCCTTGGCATTGTAGTGCAATCGCATTGCATTGCAATCGCAGCGTAACCATATTGCACTGCAGTGCAATGGCATTGCATTTGCATGGCATTGCAATCGCATTGCATCCCTTTGTGTTACATCGCATTGCACTGGGCTGCACTGGTTTGCCATCCTCCATCCTCCTCTGTCGTCCCGAGACCCAGGAGGGAGAAGGGAGGAGAGGTGTGGGGACACGGGGGAAACCCCGCATCCTTCATCCTCCTCCTTCGTTTCCATGGCCCACAGATGCAGAAGGGTACTAAAGTAGATGAACCCTATTGCTAGAGTCATGGACTAACAGTAGTGCAGTAACACGTGATAGTAAAACTCTTGGATTGTAGCAGCCATGCTTTAATACTGACTGTCGTAGCTGTAGTACTGTAGTACTGTAGAAACCGTAGTGTTCTATGACCGCAGCATTCTAGAACTGCCGAAGTAGTATTGCATGAATGATGGGGCAACACTGTAGTAGCCTTGCACTTGTAGGAGTAGCAGAATTTCTCAGGTCTCACAGTACAGATCATGTCCTGGGGCTTGCTAGATTAATCGCATTGCAGTACTGAAGTAGAAGTTGTCCACTACTGTAATGCTCGAGCGCAGTAGGTGTAGCATCCTCGATTTCGAGTGCTTTAGTGGCAGTGCTATAGGAGCAGTGCTGTACTGTTGTGGAACAGTGCTGCATTATTCTAGTAGCGGCGCTGTAGAAGCAGCACTCTAACACAGCATCCGTATGAGCAGTACTGTACGATTGCCTGCAGCACGTGTACTACAGTACTGTTGTAGGAATACCCCAATGCCGCAGTAGCGCAGCACTGTTGTGGTATTCGACTATTGTAATGCTGTAGTGGTGGCGCTGTACGGGTCGTAAAACAATACTGTAGCAGTAAGATTGCAGTAGTAATACTCTAGTATTGTACGAGTGGTACTCTCACACTGTGTTGGGCCAGTAGCTGTATTGCATTAGTGGGGTGGCAGCACTGCAGTAGTCCTGTAGTTGTAGCGGCGATAGAAACAATAGTAGTACTCAGGCCTTGCAGTAAATAGAATATTCTCGCGCTTGCTTTAGTAGTCGCACTGAAGTATTGTAGTAGAAGTTGTGCACTACTGCAATGCTCGAGCACAGTAGTAGTATCCTCGAAATCGAATGTTTGGGCGGTAGTCTGGGAGGAAAAGCGCTGTACTATTGGGGGGTAAAGCTGTACTGCTGTAGCAGTGGCACTGTCGAGGCACTACTCCGGTACGGTAGTCGTGTGTAGTACGCTACGATTGTGTGCAGTGCGTCTACTATTGTGCTATATTAGGGATGCTAGAATGCCGTAGTGCCGCAGCATTGTAACAGTATTAGAAGACTGCTGTGCTATAGTGGTCACACTGTACTAGTCGCAAAACAATATTATGGCCGTAGTACTGCACAAGTGGTACTCTAGTACTGTACAGGTGGTTCTTTGGTAAGTGCTAAGCCAATAGTAGTAATGCATCGATGGGGTGGCAGCATCGTAGTAGTCGTGTAGCTGCAGTGATAGTACTCAGGCCTTGCAATAAACATCCGGTTCCCGCGCTGGCATTACTATTCGCACCATTGTACTAGAACATGTCCACTACCGTACTGCTCGAGCACAGCAGTAGCACCCTCGAACTGTAGTGGTTTAGTGGTAGTGCTGTAGGACCAGTGCTGCACTATTGTGGAATGATGATGGATTGTAATAGTGGCACTGTAGAAGCAGGGCTCTGGCACAGTATTCGCATGAGCAGTACTCTACGATTGCCTGGAGTGAATGTACTACAGTACTGCAAGAGGAATACGCCAACGCCGTATACTCGCAGCACGGATGTAGCATGTTAGTGCTGTGTTGCTGTAGTGGTGGCACTGTAACAGTCGCCGTACAACACTGGAGCAGTAGCACTGCAATAATGATACACTAGTGCTGTACGGGTAGTACTCTGAGACTGGCAGTAGCAGTAGTGGAGCTCTAACATTGGGCCAAACAAGCACGCTAGCCGTACCCTAGTACTGTAGCACCGCAGTAGCACTGTATTCGTAGCAGTATATTGCAGTCGAAGTACTACTCTGAGACAGTAGTAGTGGTAACACTGGAGTGGTGGCTGGGATGAGCAGCACGGTATTGCAATACTTTCGTAGGGCAGCAGCATTATAGTACGTTCGCATTGTTATAGTAGTAATAATGCTGTGGTGGTAGTAGTAGTCGTAGTAGTCGTAGTAGTAGTAGTAGTAGTAGTAGCAGTAGTAGTAGTAGTAGTAGTGGTGGTGGTGGTGGTGGTGGCGGTGGTGGTGGTAGTGGTGGTAGCAGTAGTAGTGGTAGTACGAGTGATAGTAGTAGTAGTAGTAGTAGTAGTAGTAGTAGTAGTGGTAGTAGTAGTAGTAGCATGAGTAGTAGTAGTAGCAGCAGCAGTAGTAGTAGTAGTAGTAGTAGTAGTGGTAGTAGTGGTAATGCATTAGTAGTAGTAGTAGTAGTCGTAGTAGTAGTAGTAGTAGTAGTAGTGGTAGTAGTAGTAGTAGTAGTGGTAGTGGGTAGTCGTAGTCGTAGTCGTAGTCGTATCGTAGGAGTCGCAGTCGTAGTCGTAGTCGTAGTCGTAGTAGTAGTAGTAGTAGTAGTAGTAGTAGTAGTAGTAGTAGTAGTAGTAGTAGTAGTAGTAGTAGTAGTAGTAGTAGTAGTGGTAGTGGTAGTAGTAGTAGTAGTAGTAGTAGTAGTAGTAGTAGTAGTAGTAGTAGTAGTACAGTACGTTGGTAGCAGCACTGTTGTCGTACTGTGGTCGTAGTACGACCCGAGCATTGCAATAGCAATAGTAGGTTTGAGGCTCAGGCTAAGCTTTGGTTGACGCTGAGGCTGAGGCTGAGGCTGAACCTTATGTTAGGCTGAGGCTGAGGCTGAGACTGAGGCTGAGGATTAGGCTAGGCTGAGGCTTAGCATGGGCTTCGGCCAGGTTTAGGCTAGGCTGAGGCTTAGGCTTGGCTGGCTCAGGCTGATGCGTAGGCTCGGCGGAGGCAGGTGCTTAGGCTTAGGCTGAGATTCAGCCCAGGCTTAGGCAATGTTTAGGCTGAAGCTTAGGCTAGGCTGAGGCTGAGGCGTAGGCTTAGGCCAGGTTTAGGCTAGGCTGAGGCAGAGGCAGAGGCTGAGATTAGGCTGAGGCAGAAGCAGAGGCAGAGGCTAGGCTGGGGCCGAGGCTGAGGCTGAGGCTAGGCTAAGAAGGCTTAGGCTTAGGCTTAGGCTTAGGCTAGGCTTCGGCTAAATTTTGGCTGGGGTGCTAAGCTAGGCTAGGCTGAGGCTTAGGCTAGGCTCAGGCTGAGGTTTAGGCTGAGGACGGCGGAGAGAGAGGGAGAGAGAGAGAGAGAGATACACAGACAGAGAGGAGGCAGCGCCGAGGAAAAGCACAGCGGGTATACCGCGCCGATACCAGCAGCAAGCAAACGACGCGCTCCGCCTCCCACAAAACGAAATCCTTTAAAACGCAGGGGCGGGATTCGGCCCCGAAACCTCTCTGGGGAAGCTCTTGGGCCGTCTCTGGGGGGCTCTTGGGCCGTCTTTGGAAGCTTGGGCCGTCTTCGGGCTCTCTCGTGGCCCTCTTAGGCCCTCGTGGCGGCCTCCCATGGCCCTCTGGACGCTCTCTTGGGACCCTCTGGGGTCCATATGTGCCGGGGCTCTCATGAACAATCTCGGGGGCCCTCTCGGAGGCCTTGTGGGCCGCCTTCGGACGATCTTTGGGGCGTCTCGGGCCGTCTCGGACCGTCGGGCCCGTCAGAGCAAATAAGTCATACGCCTACTACAAGTCATGTTCTTCATACTCCTGATCATCCTGCTCCTGTTTCTCTTCATCATAGATCATCCTCATCCCTCTCCTCCTAACCACGGCCCTCGCTCCTCCTCCTCTCCCTCCTCCTCCTCCTCCTCCTCCTCCTCCTCCTTCTTCTTCTCCTCCTCCTCCTCCTGCTCTTCCTCCTCCTCCTTCTCCTCCTCTTCCTCCTCCTCCTCTTCCTCCTCCTCTTCCTCCTTATGGTCCTTGTCCTCGCCCCTCCGGTGCTGGCGCGCTTTTCTGAAGGAAATGCCGACTGCGCGCCAAAGAGATAAGCCTGGGTGCAGTACGTTGGCCACCGCGTGACGCGCCGAGTCCATCCTGGCACCGACGCTGGACCGACGCAGAGGGGTTGCGGGGAGGGGCAGGGGAGCCCGGAAGCAGATCGAGCAGTCGGATCGACGATCGAAGTGAGTCGAATCGGCGGAATCGGCAGCCGAGTCGGGAAAAGCCGAATCGGCGGAAATCGGAAGGCTGATACGCCTTCAAGCCGAAATCGGAACCCAAATCGGAATCCCAAGTCGAATCGACTCGAAATCGGAAGCCATCGAAGTCGGGTCGAATCGAATCAGAGGAATCGAAGTAAGGCCTGGTAGGGGGAGAGGGGACGGAATGCATTCTGGTGAAGAGGAGAGGCGCATGCAAGTGGAGAGTAGGGCACACGCCGACCAGCCACAACTGGGGGAGCTGTGCTCCTTGCCCCCCATAGGGAGAATATATCGCGTCGACGCTCTCTCGAGGGGGGTGCCAAGATCAATGGTTCCCCGCAGGGGGGGCAAGGACCACCGCTCCCCAAATCCTCTGGGAAGGGCAGAAGCAAGCAAGTGAAGGGGCGGAAGAGGCGGAGGTGGAGGGAGGGAGGGAGGGAGGAGGGAGGAGGGAGGGGGGAGGGGGGAGGAGGGAAGAGGGAGGAGGGAGGAGGGAGGAGGGAGGAGGAAGGAGGGAGGAGGAGTGGAGTGGAGTGGACGCCAGCACGAGGTGATATCCAAAATCACTGACTACCCGAGGCCCTGGCTGCCTGTTGAGCTCGGGTAAGCGCTTTAGGCCAGAAACCTTGCTCCAACCGTCGGAGGAGGAGAGAAGGAGGAGGAGGGAGGGAGGAGTGAAGGAGGGAGGGAGGGAGGGAGGGAGGGAGGGGAAGGGAGGGGAGGGAGGAGGGAGGGAGGGAGGGAGGGCGGAGCGAAGGAGGGAGGGAGGGAGCGCAGCCCCAGTGCCCTGGGGTCCCTCGCAGGCGGGGAGGGTGGAGTGCCGTCGGGCTGTCCCCGGAGGGAGGGAGGGAGAAGCGAGCGAGCGAGCGAGCGAGCGAGCCACACATGGAGAACATCCTCGGGGCCTATCTAGGTCTTGGCGGGCGCGACCATAACCTCTATGATATATATCTATATATATATACATATATACATATACATATATCTATATATATATATATACACATATATGTATGTGTATATGTGTAAATGTATGCATATGTATCTCTGGATATGCACATACACGGATGCATACGTACAGACCCTGTGGTGGACAAGATGCATGCGAGGAGCAGGAGGGGTAAGAAGAGGAGCAGGAGGAGGAGGATGGAGGGAGGGAGGAAGGGGGGGAAGGAGGAGGACAAACAGTGCAAACCGAAGACGCGACGACGATGCTGCAGTAAACCCCCCATCCAAGTTTCCTCTGCATAGGTCCCTACAAAACATGATGTTCATTGCGGGAAAAGCCACATTGAAAGACAACCGTCTAAAAATCTTCAGTCGTGCCAAAACACAATTCCTGAGACTCCAACGCGGCGAATCAACGTGACTGCTGCGACCTGACTGTCCTAAACCATATCAGAACGCCGCCCCTGGGCTTTCAACACCGCGAGTCGACGTGACTGTTGCGTCCTGACAATCACAGATATTGCAAGAATATCATTCCTGGGATTTCAACCCTACAAGCCCATGAAACAACTAGAAATGTATAAGAAACATGTGCGCGACACTTAAGCGAGAGCCACATGTTGAAAAGGCACCACCCTCCGTCCCTGAAACTGCTGCAAGTGTTTAAGACGAATGTGCGCGGCGCTAGGGCACGAGCCATACTTTTAAAACGACCCGCCCTCCACCCCTGAAACTGTTGCAAACTTTTGAAACGAGTGCGCGCGGCGCTAAGGCGAGAACCACATTTTAAAAACGGCCGCTCCCCATGCGTGAAACTGTTGTACTGTTCAAGCTTCAGGGTCACCAGTGGTGAAGGATCCCAAAGCGAAACGCCCGGGCCGCCTTACAGACACGTCTGGGGATGCGACCGTGAGGAAGTATTGGTATGGAAAAAGGGAGGGAGGAGAAGGAGGGAGGAGAAGGAGGAGGAGGAGGAGGAGGAGGGTGAACTGAAGGCGTCTGGGCCCGGGCCGTCCCCCCGTCGCCGAACAGGTCGGCGCCGTGGCCGCGCCCAGCACGGTTACCGAACCCGCGACTTCCTCGGCACATCTTTCTATTCCCACACTTTTTACATCTTGCCAGATGATTCGTTCTCACCTCTCCTGCTATCCTTCGTGGGCGTCGGCCTGACCGTCGACATGAACGAGATTCTTACCGACCGGCCACAGCCGAGACCACTTCGCAGCGCTGCGAGGCGGCTGGCGTATGCAGCTAACAAGGGACAGCCGCCGCGGTCTAGCAACGTGAACCGCCTCATGGTCGCGGCTGCCACCGCAAGCAACGCCAACACAGCCCCCAAACACATCGTCATCCCAGTCGACAAGTCAGACACCGAACCGCCACAGGCACCACCAGCTACGGCTGCGCCAGTTCTTCGGGAAGAAGCGCCTGCCTTCGAGCCAGGCCTGCTGCTCCTCCCGCCTATCATCACGAGCATCGGCGCCTCCACCACGGGCCCTACTTCAATGGCATGGCCACAGACAGCGTCGCAGGCGCCACGGCAGCTGCAGCCCGAGAGGGAATGCTTTGGCGGCGGCCCAACATCAAGGCCCAGCAGCGGGGGGGGTGCAGAGCGACCTCGGCCTCCCGTGTCGCAGGCGCCAGTGCGGGTCCCTGCGACAACCACGCTGCGGGGGGAGTTTGCACAGCAACCTGGGCTCCCCCTCGGTGCGACGCCGATGGAGGCCCCGCACCACCGTCAAACGCGAAGTCGTACACAACTCCGAGACCCACAGGAAGTTGGGCCAAAGACATGGCTGGCGACCGCTCCAGCCACCAGGCCAGCAAACCCATGGACATCGAAGGTGAAGGGGCCCCAGGACACACAAATAAATACACACAAGTAAAAAGATTCCCCATATTTTCCCATCTTTTCTGGGTTTCTGTCTTCCCCCCCACTTCCCATATTTTCCCATATTTCTTGGGAATCGAGGATGAATTGTGTCTGTGTGTTTCTTTTCCTCCTGAGAAGGGGCCACCGGCTGCGACCAAGCCGACAGCGACCCGCTCCTCGGCGCCAGCAGCACCTTCAACCACCAGAGCGTCGGGGAGGCCGGCGGGCACGGCCCCTCCCCCAAACGGACCGACCAGAGGGGCGGCTCCAACGGCACCCTCGGCTGCCAGGGAAGCACGGCGGAGGCGAGGCGCCCCTGGCTGCCGAGCCTGGCAGCATTGCCGGAGCGACCGCGGCGCGACCGCGGCGCGCCGCCAACTACGACGGCTACGACAGGAGCACGGAGGCGGCGGACCTGCCCGACGGCTCCGGCGACGCTCTCGGGCGCATCAGCGCGCCGAGAAGGCGGCGGGATTCGCCGACCCGACCAGCGGCTCCAACGGCACTTTCAACCTCCAGAACACCACGGAGGCGGCGGGGAGGGCCCGTCCTACACGAGCCAACCTGCGAGACGGCTTCGACAAGGCTGCGAAGCAATCGTGAGCTGACACCTCTCCCAACCTTCCCCGCCCTGCCGTCTCCCCCCTCATCCTTCTGCTCCCTACTCCTGTGGGCATGGCGGGATGGGGGGCTGGGAGCTAGGCGTTGGGCAGGGAGGGAACGCATGCAGCGTGCGGCGACAGCGCCACCGCCATAATCGTTCTACTCTTAGGGAGAGTGCTCTCCCTCTGTCCACCCGTGTACACCACCATCGTACCCCGTCCTCTGCTGTTACGCCCCAGGCGCATTCGCCTCCTTCACCTCCCCCCGCTACTCGCCAGTGCCCTACACCTCAGCTTCTGAGGGGCGTGCGTGCTGAACCCGAGAAGAACGCAACAAAAAGCACGCTGGGGGCACCAAACAGTGAGTTCCTTCCTCGCACTGTTCTGGGGAAAGCGGGAGGTTACTGGGGTGAACCGCCAAACCCCAGACTAGCACGAGTATAGCAGGTGCCTCGCCGGCTCTTGGCACCATTTTTTCCTGCAACCACCCATCTTTTGGATCTTCTTTCCCTCCCCTCAACCTCGCAGTATGCAGCATGTCTCCTCTCGCACGAGGAACTTCACCGCTGTGCGTGCAATGCCAACCTAACATTTACATCCCAGCTGCCCATGCGGGGAGTGCTGCGGCGCGTGGCCAACGTACGCAGCAATTCAACCGCACGGACGGACATTCACCCGACAAACGGCCCGCCGATCATCGGCGGCGCTGTCGCCTGATGTGTATCACTGCGCGCTTGCCCGACTTATCCCTCCCATGACCCCTTCAGCCGCGTCGGGCACGAGGTCGCGTGTCGCCTCGTTAGCGCCAGGGCCACATAGAGCGACAAGCGGCGGCGACGCCTGCCTCTTCGCCGCTGCTACACACGCGAGGCACCCTTTCCTGCCGGTAGATACTTGCCGATCCATGCTGTTGACACCGGACGTCCTTTTTCAACTTCCCTTCTCATCCACCTCGCCGTTCATCGTTTTCCTCCTCCTTGCCTCCCTTCTGGTATGACACCGCCTGCTGGCGCGGGCGCCCGTGTGCCGGGCCCTCCCCCCCGCGCGCCGCCCGAGGCGGGGCGGGCTGTCCTCCAGCGGACCTACAGATCCCAGACTGGGACTCAGAAGGAGGCGCTCTTGCGGAGAATGGGGGGGGGGGGGTGATCGGATTGGGGACGAGGAGGACACCTTTCGCTTCGCACGATACTAACTACCCAGGTCCCGGCTCCCCAGTGACCCCTCCGGTGCCCCCTACCTCCAGGTGCCGCCACAGAGGGATTCTCGGATCGGGGCCACGACGCTCCCCAGGAGTCGAGCTCCCGCCGCTATCGGTAAGGGGCGCTAGGGGGTTCCTTAGACTGCCGGGACCTCCCCCCCTCCCCCCTCCTCGTCGTGCCTCTTTCCCCCCCTCCTCCCTCCTCCTCCTCCTCCTCATCCTCCTCCTCCTCCTCAAACCTTCTCCTCCTTGCCCTCTCGTGTCGTCCCCGCTCCGAGTTTTCCCTCGCCTCCAGGTAGAGCCCCCGGTTTCGGCTGGTGGTGCCCAGTTTCAACACCTGCCACGCACACCGCGGAAGGGCAGGGAAGGGCTGCATCCTTTGAATTCGTTCGCCCTGAGCAGCAGCAGCAGCAGCAGCAGCAGCAGCAGCAGGGTGAACGGTGAACGGCGAAGTCCTGTCTAAAAGGGCCCGCGTGGGGCACGACAACTACTAATATACATCCAGAAGCGTAGCTCGGAGGATGCCGGGTGAGGCGGAGGAGGAGGAGGGAGAAGAGAGGAGGAGGAGGAGGAGGAGGAGGAGGAGGAGGAGGAGGGAGAGGAGGAGGACGAGGAGGAGGAGGAGGAGGAGGGGGAGGAGGACGAGGGAGGAGGAGGGAGGAGGAGGGAGGAGGAGGGAGGAGGAAGGGAAGGGAAGGGTGAAAAGGGAGGGCTCACAGGACGGAGGTTTCCCGCGATGGGCGGTGGCCGTGCCTCCACGAAAGCCAGCGGCCGAGCGCCCGTCCCCAGGCCCCGCCGCCGCCAGGCCGACGCCGGCGGCGGGATTCGCGCGGTCGAATTTGTGCAGCCCGGGGGCCCCGAACGGCCACATTTCGTGATGAGAGCACAACGCCCCTGAGATCCTGGCGACTCAATCGTTTCGAGCCGGCCGTTTTCGCTGAATTTCGCGCCCTGGGACCCTCAGAGATCAATCCGGCTCGGAGAATGACGCAGAAAGATTGGGTCCAGGGGTCTGGCCGTGATTTTCTGCGATGTTGGAATTGTCTTGCATCGTCGGATCTCAGGGACACACATACACACCCCTATAAAGGGCAGGAATGGAGAAAAACACGGAGATAAAGGTGCTGTGGGTATGGGTGCGTGTTGTCGGACCCCGAGGCGGGTTCCCATTCGGGCGGGGGGCCCAATCCGACAACACACTTTTTTGATCCGCGGGTCGAGAGCGAGCCTCTTCCGGTCGAAGCTAAGCGGGCCGCGCACAGCTTTAATTGACAGAGGGGGGGAAGGCGGAAGGAGGGGCCTCACGTCAAGGCCAAGAGAGGGCAAAGCCCCATAATCAGGCGGTGCCGAAGGCGATGTGCATGCGAAGAAACGCCTTGTACAGGAACCCGGTGGCGAAGTACTGGAAAAGCAAAATGCTGTGGTGGTGGTGCCGTCAGCGGCGCTTCATGTACACCAACCTCAAGTGACCGCGGGAGAGGACGCACCACGTATCCAGGGCGACGCCCGAGAGGGTGAGGAGCACCGCTGGGCCGGAGTGCAACGTTGTGCCACCGAACAGGACGCAGGAGAGGCCCAGGCCGTGGTAGTCCAAGGTGCCACGTACACAGGGAAAGAGAGTGCCAGTCCGACAACACACCCGTAGCCCCCATCCAAGACATCTAGGGGTCGCATAGGTATGGCTGCTAGCTGCCGACTCATGTCGGGTGATATTGCGCCACGAAACAGGCATCCGCCGATGACTAATCCTGGTGCCTTCAGGGAGGGCGGCGGTGTGCTAAATCAGTGGCCCTCACTGGCGATTGATACACAGCCACCCTCCCGTGAGGCCCGTGATAAATCCAATGGTGGGTGTCCGCCATCCTAAGTAAGTGCCCCCTGAACACGAGCATCACGTCCTCAATGGGGATCGCACTTTCTCTGGACACCCCGCGCGCATGAACAGGAACAGAAACAATCACACGCACACACACACACACACACACTAGCACTCAAACACACACACGCACACACACGCACACAAACACACACGCAAACAGACACGCATACACACGCATGATAATAGTAGCAATAAGAATAAGAATCATCATCATCAGCAGCAGCAGCATCAGCAGTATCATTATCAGCAGCATCATCATAATCAGCAGCATCATTATCGTTAGCATTATCATCAGCACCATCATCATCATCGTCGTCGTAACCATCATCAGCATCATCAGCAGAAGCACTATCATCATAATCAGTTTCATCATCACCATCACCATCACCATCACACTTCATCAGCGTCATCATCAATTGAATCAGCATCACCATCGTCATCATCACTACCAACACGACAATCAGCATCAACACCATCGTCATCGTCGTTGCCATCATCACCACCACTATCGAAACAGTCAGTGTCATCATAACTCACATCATCATCATCATCATCAGCAGCATCATCATCACCATCAGCATCATCATTATCATCATCATCTGCATCATCATAATCAGCATCATGATCATCAACATCAGCTTTAGCATCATCGTCAGCATCGTCATCATCATGATCATCATCATCATCGTCGTCAGCGTCGTCATCAGCAGCAGCATCGTCATCCTTATCATCAGCATCATCATCAACCTCATCATCATTAGCATTAGCATTGCCAGCATAGTCTCCCTCACTACCACAGACATCACCGAACAACATCATCGGCATCAGCATCATCATCACCATCACCACCCTCATCGTAAACTTTGCCACACTAATACTAATCGCCATCATCGGCAGCAGCATCATCAACGTCTGGATCATCATGAACGTCATCTTCATCGTCATCAACCGAATCAACAGTTTCATCACCAGCGTCAGAGTCTGTACCATCATCAGCAACATCACCACCAACAGCATCGCCATGAATCATCATCATCATCATCATCATCATCATCATCATCATCATCAGCAGCAACAGGAAGATCATCATCAACACGATCATATAAACCAGCAGCAGCAGCAGTATCAGTATATATCATCGTCATCAACAACAACATCATCGTCATCATCATCATCATCATCAACATCATCAGAAGCTGCAGCATCATGATAATCGCCATCGTCACCAGCATCGTCAACACCACCATCATCATCATCATCATCATCATCATCATCATCAGCAGCAGCAGCATCATCAGCATCGTCGTCGCCAGCAGCAGCAACGGCAGCACCATCAGCATCCTCATAATCAGCATCCTCCTCATCATCATCAGCATCATCATCACCACCACCACCATCACCATCGTCATCATCATCATCAACATCAGCATCAGCATCATCATCGTGGTCATCAGCAGCATCACCATCCGCATCATCATCAGCAGCATCAGCATCATCATCATCATCGGCGTCATCATCATCATCAGCATCATCAGCATCATCATCGTCGTCGTCGTCATCGTCATCGTCATCGTCATACTCGGAATCGTCAGCGTCATCGCGCACACGCCCACACTCACACGCTCACTCACACAATTCATGTTGAGGACGTCACGAGCGGAAGCCTCGCCCGTGAGTGAATCGCGAAGAGACCTCGAGCGGGAGCGCAGCCCCCCCCCCAATGGGGCCCCCAGCTGCCGTTGCTCAGCCCGTGCGTGCCGTCCGATCCCTGCAGCTGTCGTCACGTCGGGGCTCCTGAGGCCTGAATCTGGACACTACTTGCCGTCGCTCGGACGTCCATTTCCCGTGCACTGTTCGGTTTCGTGCGTGTTTGTGTTGCTCGGTGGTCCAGGATGCTCCTCCAGGGTCCTCGCCGAGAAAAAAATGCACACGTCCGAGCGATGCCAGGGAGAGTCTCGAGCGGGAGCCTCGTCTGTGAGCGAATCGCGAGAGAAAGCCTCGAGCAGGAGCTCCCCTCGATGGGGCCCCCGCTCTCGTGCCCATGGGACGCGCGCGCGGGCCATCCGGTCCCTATAACCGTCGTCACGCTGGAGCTCCTGAGGCTGGAATCTCTGGAGGAAGTCTCAAGAGGGAGCCTCGCCTGTGAGCGGATAGCAGGGAAGTCTCGAGCGGGAGGCCCCCTCCCGATGGCCATCCCCGCGTCGTGCTGGGAATGCCAGGCGGTGATCGGCAGATTGCCACAAGCACAACACTTGAGCGCCCCGAGGGGACGAATCGCGAGGATGCCTCGAGCGGGGGGGGGGGGATGGGCTCGCCTGCGCGGAAGAGTCGAGGACGTCTCGGGCGGGAGCCCTCTCTCCCGATGGGCCCCCGCTTCATGTTAGCAGTCAGGTTGGTCGTCGGCGCTTATCGTAGCCCAAGGAGACAGCTTCTGAGGACGCGTCGAGCGGGGGGCTCGTCCGTGATCGAGCTGCGCGGATGGCTCCGACGGTGGCCCCCCGAGCCCCATCGGCCCCGCGGGGCGCACAGGTCGTCAAACAGGCCCCACGGGTCCCACGGGCCGCACAGGCCCAGCTGGTCCCAGGGGCCCCACAGGACTTGCAGGGCCCCCAGGTTAGGGGGCCACATGCGAACCCTACGCCTACCCCCCACGACTTCTGAGGGGCAGGGTGGGGTCCACTTCGCTCGGGAGCTCCCGAACGGAGTGAACCCCACCCTCCCCCTCGGAAGTCGTTCACATGCGGCCCCCTCTGAGGGGGAGGGTAGGGTTCACATGCGGCCCCCTATAGGTCGCACAAGCCCCGCAGCTCGCACAGGTCCCACACACGGCTCCACGGGCCCCACAGAACCTACGGATCCCGAAGGCCCCACGGGTCCCACACATCCCAGGGGCCCCGCGGGCCCCGCACGCCCTTCCGGGGCTCCACGGGCCCCACGGGCCCCAAAGGCTCCGCGGGCCCCACAGGTCCAACACAAGCTCCACAAGCTCCACTTGAGAGGCACAAGTCCCGCGGGTCCGCGGGTCTGACAGGCCCCCATGAGGCCCCACGGGTCCCACCAAGTTCCGAGGTTCCCGCAGGGCCCGAAGGTCCCGCGGGCCCCACAAGTCCCACAGGAGTCAAAGGTACCCCAAGTACCACAGGCCCCAAAGGGCTCACACTTTCGACGGTTCTCATAGACCCCACAGGGTTCGCACGTCCCACACGGCCCGCAGGTCCCACAGTTCTCACAGGTCCCACAGCTCTCACAGGTTCAACAAGTCTCGCAGGTCGCACAGCTCCCACGGGCCCCACAGGTCTGACGTTCCACAGGTCGCATTCAGGTATGTTGGCGTCCTGGCACCATTGCCATCAGCAGTCCTTGATGATGACATGAGTCTCATGCGAGCCAAAGAGATGTTCATGGTAAGTCCTTCCGGCGGAACAATTCCGTCAGCCCTTTAGGGCGTGAGTGGTTTAGCGCGCTTCGTCTTCCAACCCCCTTCTTCCCCTTCGGGGAGGGGTTTATCACTGCTCCCCATTGATACACACCCCCTCCGCCAGGCGACCGGCGGCCAACCAGGAACCATGAGGACCCCCCCCACCATCCCTGTCAAATCACCCTGGCGACGTTGCCCACCCCTGCGCAATGCGGGGCAGGAGAAGCTTGGGAGATTTGACGAGAAGGAGGCGACGTGACATGGACGCATATACTTCTGCGAGCGGCGTTCGCGACAGCTTCGCAGATCGCAGCCCCCCAGGGACGGGGAGGTCCCGCTCAGATCCGCGCGGTGCCTTACGCCGCTGGACCCACCAGCAGCCCAAGTGGCGACAGTTTCGCAGATCGCAGCCCCCCAAGGACGGGAAGGTCCCGCTCAGATTCGCGCGGTGCACCAGCAGCCCTCGAAAGTGGCGACTGTTTCGCAGATCGCAGCCGCCCCAGGGACAGGGAGGTCCCGCTCAGATCCGCGCGGTGCCTCACTCCGCTGGACCCACCAGCAGCCCTCGCAAGTTGCGACAGCTTCGCAGATCGCAGCCCCCCAGGGGCGGGGATGTGCCGCTCAGATCCGCGCGGTGCCTCACTCCGCTGGACCCACCAGCAGCCCTCGCAAATGGCGACTGCTTCGCAGATCGCAGCCCCCCAGGGACGGGAGGTCCCGCTCAGATCCGCGCGGTGCCTCACGCCGCTGGACCCACCAGCAGCCCTCGAAAGTGGCGACAGTTTCGCAGATCGCAGCCCCCCATGGGGCGGGGAGGTGCCGCTCAGATCCGCGCGGTGCCTCACGCCGCTGGACCCACCAGCAGCCCTCGAAAGTAGCGACAGTTTCACAGATCGCAGCCTCCCAGGGAAAAGGAGGTCCCGCTCAGATCCGCGCGGTGCCTCACTCCGCTGGACCCGCCAGCAGCCCTCGACAATGGCGACAGCTTCGCAGATCGCAGCCCCCCAAGGGGCGGGGAGGTGCCGCTCAGATCCGCGCGGTGCCTCACGCCGCTGGACCCACCAGCAGCCCTCGAAAGTGGCGACAGTTTCACAGATCGCAGCCCCCCAGGGGCGGGGATGTGCCGCTCAGATCCGCGCGGTGCCTCACTCCGCTGGACCCGCCAGCAGCCCTCGAAAGTAGCGACTGCTTCGCAGATCGCAGCCCCCCAAGGACGGGGAGGTCCCGCTCAGATCCGCGCGGTGCCTCACTCCGCTGGACCCACCAGCAGCCCTCGAAAGTGGCGACAGTTTCGCAGATCGCAGCCCCCCAGGGACGGTGAGGTCCCGCTCAGACCCCACCAAAAATGGCGACAGTTTCGCAGATCGCAGCCCCCCAAGGGGCGGGGAAGCCCCGCTCATATCCGCGCGGTGCCTCACCCCGCTGGACCCACCAGCAGCCCTCGAAAATGGCGACAGCTTCGCAGATCGCGGCCCCCCAGGGACGGGGAGGTCCCGCTTGGATCCGCGCGGTGCCTCACTCCGCTGGACCCACCAGCAGCCCACGAAAGTGGCGACTGTTTCGCAGATCACTGCCCCCCAGGCAAGGCAAGAGGAGACAAGGATGGCGGGCGGGAGGCGGGGGGCAGGAGGCGGGAGGAGGAGGAGGAGGAGGAGGAGGAGGAGGAGGAGGAGGAGGAGGAGACGCGACCGCGGTGCTCAATTCAAAACGAATACCCAACCAAGGAGGGCTGGGAAACAAAACAATACAAGACTATGCCTCCAACTTTGGAGCATGCGCGGCCAACCCGATGCGCCCCCCACGACCATCCCTGACAAATAAAACGAAACAACGTACAAAATGTTGGGTCGAGTCTTGAATCATGTTCGTGAGGCCCGCGAGCACTTTGTATTGCTGCTGTCAAAGGCGAAGGGCGTGTCGGCGTAGTGCCTGCTGTGTGCAGGGATACTATCCTTGAAAAAATGCACATCGCGGCTAAATCTGCATCATGCGCCGCCACCCGCGATCACTGTCAGGTGGTTTTTGACAGGGACGGCGGGGGTGGTGGCGTATGGCCTGCTGTGCGCAGGCCCACCAGACACAATGATGGGCATTGGTGTTCGACAAGGAGGGTGGGGGCCGACATGTTTCCCGGTGTCCGATGTGTGTACGTGCTCAAGCGCCCCCGACACCCTCCGCACGTACCCCGAACGTGGCGCACCTGGCGCGGCTGGAGTATGCGGCACACCTGGCGCACGCGGAGCACGTGGCGCATCTGGCGCACCAGACGTGCCTGTCACGCTCGGGACCCAGGGGTGCCTGGCGCGCGTGGCGCGCCTGGCACGCGTGGCGCACCTCGCCCCAGCGTCGCGCACCTGGTTCCCAGTAGCTGTCCATCCAAACGACCGCTGCATATGCTGAGGCTCGGGTGTTACTTTGTCTGTTGGAAGGGAGGGTGGGGGTGAGCTAGACGGCTTGCGGGCGGGTGGGTGTCTTGAAACCTCCCCCTATCCCCCTCCCCCTGGACCTGGACGGGAAGGTTCGCGACCCATTGGAGCATCCAAGATGACCTCGGCGAATAGGCTCAATTCATTGTTTTTGCACAGCTGTTGGGCCCAAGTATGTTGGCTTCCTATGGGGGGCTGTAATTTACTACTCCCCCTTCTTTGACCGATCTCTTCCAAGATGGCCCTAAGATGGCCTTCGAGGCTCCCAAGCGTTCGCCAAGAGGGCCCTAAGAGGCGCCCAGGAGGCCCAAGAGGCCTCCAACTGGTCCCCAAGAGGCCCCCAGGAGACCCCCAAGAGGTCCGAAGAGGCTCCAAGAGGCTCCCCCGAGGCCCCCAAGACGCGCTAAGGAGCGGACCGCTAAGAGGCCCCCAAGACGCTCCAAGAGGACTCACAGAAGCGTTCGAGGGACGTCTGGAAAGACTCAAAGAGGCATCCAAAAAGGCCTCTGGCCATCCTCCTCCTCCTCCTCTTACTCCTCCTCCTCCTGGTCATTCTCCTGTGCATCCTCTTCGTCATCCAACTCTTGCTCGTCCGCCTAGTCCTCCTCGCCCTTCCTCGTCCCTCTTTTGTCCCCCCCCTCTCTCCCCCTCCCCTTCCTCCTCCGACTCCTCCTCCACGCTCCCCCTCTTGGGGTATGACGGCTTCCCCAACTCCGATTCCACTGCATGCTACTCCGCACCCCCGATCAGGGCAACTCGCCTGGGCATCCTGTCTGGATGGGCCGGCAGGGTTACACACAGCGTCCAGAATTTCTGCGGCGGAGTTACGAGGAGTGGTCCTGGCCCAAGGTGGTCCCAGCTTCCCACACTACAGCAGGGGCTCAACCACAAGAAACCTTCAAAAAAAAACAACCCTGAGACCCCAGGACGTCCATTGATCTTTGGTGTGGGAGCATCACGCTTTCCATGGCAAAACCATCGAAACCCAAGAAGCCAAGGGCACCCTGGAGGCAAGCAGGGTGTTTCTTGGCATGGGCCTCCACTGCATCCTGGGCCCTCTCGGGCCCTCTGGGACTCGCGAGAGGTGCTTTGGAAACCATATGCGCCTCCCTGGGAACGCTGGGGGTCGCCTTCGACCAGGGCAACTGCTGGCGACGACCGAACATTCGGCGGCGCGCCGCGGGGGGAAGGCGAGAGGGCACGCCTTCTCAGCAGGCGGCAGTGCCTTTCGGGAGCCCCCGGGGCCTTCTGAGCAGCCCCCATGTGGCCTCGGAGGGGGCTCGCGGCGGGGCTTCTCTGAGCCTTCTGAGAAGGCCCGCCCCTCCCGAGAGCCCCGGCGTGACGATTTTTGTCACAACGCCGACCCCCAGAGGTCTCGACCCATTCCCGAGTCGTTGTTTGACGGCGAGCGAGGGTCGGGGATGGACAGACCCCCCTTTAGTAAAACGTGGTTTAGTGAAAACGACCTCGGGCCCAAACCTGGCGGGCGCAAGCCCGGAAAATAACGGCCGCGGCGCCCTCTCGAGAACCGAAAACGGACAATTCACTAACCGACGTGTCACTGTTAGGGGTTCTGTCCACCCCCGAGAGGGGGGAAATGAGAAGGGAAGGGGGTCACCATCCTCATGCGCCCCCTCACTTCCCCCCTCCTGGGGCCGGCGTTTCGTCCCGAGTCGTTGTGTGACGGTCCCGACGCCAGGCGGGGGCTCTCCCGGAGGCGGGAGACTTCCAAAAATAGTCCCTGGTGGCAGCTCACAGGGGCCTCCCATACCATCTTGTCAGCTCTTGCGAATCGACGCTAGATCGACGCTGGGCGACGCGAATTCCACGCGGACCAGCGCGAACTGACACCAAATCGGCGCTATCTTGTCGACTCCGGACGCCAATCGACGCCAATCGACGCGAAAGACAGAATTGGGAGGGTACAGCAGGCTCCCATGACTTGCCACCGAAGTACAGTGGAGGCCCGTCCGCAAGAGACCTTCCACAAGAAACCCAACCCTGAGACCCCAGGACGTCCATGGACGTTTGGTGCGGGAGCGCCACGCTTCCCATAGCGAGGCCATCGACACCCACGAAACCCAGGGTGAGAGGCCTGGAAATGGGCACCAACACCAATACAGGGGCTGCCTCCACCGGGGGAAGATTATCCTAGATTTCGGTGTTGGTGGTAATATTTCGGTCACCTTGGAAGCCAGAATATTACCACCATCACCGAGATCGGGATCTTCTTCCCTCGGTGGAGGAACACCGCCGATATTGGTGTTGGTGTCAACCTCTAGGCCTGCTACTGGGCACCCTGGAGCCAAGCGGGGTGCTTCTTGGCATGGGCCTCCGCTGCAGCCCGTCGCGAGTCCTCCAGGACGCCAAAGGGGTCTCGGCCTTCGCGCCCTCTGCCGTCTTCTCCCCTCAGCGCGCGCCGCCGGCACGTGCGCGCACCCCTCGGCAAGGAGGGCATGGCCTTCGGCAGCAGGCGCGAGTCGCGCCTGCTGCCGAAGGCCCCGAGGTTCGCGCGCTGCTGTCACAGCAGCGCGCGAACCTCAAGGCCGCACCTCCGCCGCCACGAGCCGCGACGGCCGCCCGAGCCCGCTGCGCGCAGCGGTGGAGGCACAGCAAACCTGCGCATAACCTTCCGGAGATCAGCGCGGACCTGAGAAAGTCTATGTGCGCCGCCAGCATTCGGGGATCTTCTGACCCGGGTCAATCTAGACCCAGGTCAGCAGGAAACCAAAAACTGCAATGCAGGAAAAAACTGCAACGCAGGTCTTCGCAAACCTGGGTCAGCCAATACGAGCGGCCGCCTCGCGGCCTCGAGCGGCTCGCTAACCCGGATCAGCCAGAGGAGGCCTTCGCAGGATCCTGCAGGATCTGGCGCTCTGGCTGACCCCCGTTTGCACTGACCCCCGTCTCTTAGGCCCCGAAGCATATGACCATGTCCACTGCCGCTGGGTCGTGTTCCGAGGACTCGTGGAGCGGTGGATATGGTCATCTGCCCGCCCACTCGGGCGGGCAGATATCCAGACCCACCGCTCCCCGAGACCTCGGGGCACGACTCCGAAGCGGTGGATGGGGACCTATTCTGGCGATGGAGCCTGTTTACTTCGTCGGCGCTTCCTCGAAACGTGCGCAGGGGGAGGACGGCCTCCAGTGAGAAGGGACAACAAGCCGGCCTCGGACGACCGCGGCCCTCGCGCGCGCCGACGCCCCCCATGGGTCAGCAGGCCGGAACGAGGGCGTCGTAGTGCACTCCTGCCAGGGGGGGGGGGGCCGTTGCTCCGGCTCCTCGTCGATCCCTTCCTGCTGCTCCCCGTGCTCTCCCTCCCCGTGCCCTTCCTCCCCCGCCATCCCACGTCCTGATAAGAACCCCCACTTAGACATGCGCGTTCCATTACTCGCAGAATAACTACTCGCAAATCGCCCGTATCCGTCGCGGGGGGGTTACGATATATTACATCGAGGCAAACAAACGTTTTTCGGACGTTTGCGAGTAGCCGCTTCGCGAGTAGTGGAAGGCGCTCGGTGACCCCCGTCGCTCCCCGACACGTGCCAGGAGGGCGGGCCGGGCGTTTCGCCTGAGACTTCCATATCACTTCTGCTCCTCAAGCTTGAAAGTTGCAACAATTTGCCAGATGGGGGGCCGGTCGTTTTCAAAATGTGGCGCCCGCCTTTGGCGCCGCGCACATTCGATTCGAAAAACAGAACAAGTTTCACGGATGCAGTGTGGGTCGTTTAAAAAAGGTGGCTCTCTCCTTCAGCTCCGCGCACATTCATCTTAAACGTGTTGAAGAGCTTCACGGATGGAGGCGGGCCATTATCAAAATGTGGCTCTCGCATGAGCGCCGCGAACATGCGCAACACAAGTTTGCAAGAGCTTCACGGATGGAGGGCGGTTCCTTTTCAAAAGACGGCTCTCGCCTTGGCACCGCGCACAGTCGTCGTGGAAGAGCTTGACGGATGGAGGACCGCTATCGCCTTAGCGCCGCAAACATTCGTCTTCACAACAGTTCAACGCATTCGTCTGGTTGGCACCCAAGGAGTGATGTCGCGGCATGATTTAGGAGCGTCAGTGCGCAGTAGTCATGGTGACTCGCGTTGCTGAAGTCCCAAGAACGGTGTTCTGACATGATTCCGGACCGTCAGGACGCAACAGTGCAATTGAATCGCGGCGTCGAAGTCCAAGGAGTGGTGATTTGACACGGTTGAGGATTTTCAAACGGTTGTCGTCAAACGAGATACTTCGAGCACCAGAAACGAATTCTTGTATGGACCTATGAAGAGGAGCATCGAGTATTGTAACATCATTGATGCGTCTTGGATTTGCATTGATCTCCCTCCTCCTCCTCCTGCTCCTCCTCCTCCTCCTCATCCTCCTCATCCTCCTTGACGATGGCCAGTCATGGGGCAAGGCTCGCTACAGGCGCAGCAGATAGACGGACGGCGGCTGTGAAGTAGAAGGGGAGCAGCTTGAAAGAAGGCAGGCAACTGCCAGAAGAGTCTCTACAACGCTAGCAAGAGTGGCAGCGTCTCCTCCTCTTTCTTACCCTCCTCCTTATCACCACCATAGCATCACCACCACAACCACCATCATCATTATCATCCTAATATTATTCCTCCTCATCATGATCATCAACCGCATCAAAAGCATCATCATCATCAGCATCATCATCATCGTCATCATCATGATCATCATCATCATCATCCTCATCATCCACATCATCATCATGATCATCATCATCATCATCAGCAGCAGCATCATCATCATCATCAGCATCATCATCATCATCAGCAGCATAATCAGCATCATCATCATCAGTTTCATCCGCATCCTCATCATCATCAACAGCATCATCATCAGTATCATCATCAGCATCATGACGGTCATCATCGTCGTCGTCATCATCGTCATCATCACCATCATCGGAATCATCGGGGTCTGAAGATGGGGGCAGACGAAGAAACGTTGGAGATAGAAGCGGAGAGTACGAAATGGCTGCAGAGAAAAACGGTGTCAACGAAGGTTGGCAGAATCCAGGTGGAGGGGGCCGAACGAGTACAGACCGAAGTGGAGATAGAAGGGAGGACAATCTGCCCGTCTCGGTATCTGCTCGCTGCCAGGCAGCAGACCCGAAGCGATCATGAACGCAGGCCGGGCTGAATCTACTAGGCAACCGGAGAAGGGTGAGGATAAGCAGAAGCAGCAGCAAGAGAAAGGGGTAGCTTCCTCCCATCATGAAGCGGCACCCGCCCTGCAAGCACAACTCGGAGTCGGCATGAAGGGCGAGTCGCCACGACAACCCATCAGACAGCCAAGACGGCCCCAAGACGGCCAAAGAGGGCCTCGAGAACCCCACGATGGCCCACGGGGCATCCAAGACGGTCCGAAGACGGACCAAGAGGGTCTCTGAGGGCACCCACGAGTTGCGTCCTTAGACAGCGCTTCGATCGACGGCCCAAAACGGCCCACGACGGCCACAAGACACCCCCTAATACGGCCAAGAGGACCCCAAGAGGGCCCAAGAGAACCCCAAGACGGCCGAACAAAGCTACAGTAGAGCCGAAGAAAGCCCCAACACGGCAGAGGCTCCCAAGACTGCCCCACAGGAGGCCATGGCAGCCACAAGACAACCCAAATGTGCTCCATAAGAGCTCCTCACGAAGTGAAGACAAAAGGTGTCACATGTGGCGGCGTCCCTCTTCCTCCTCCTTCTCCTCCGCTCTACAGCCACAGTGTCACATGTGACTGTTTCGCCGTTGCCCCAGATGTCGACGCATACGTTTCCTCTGAAAGTCGCCTGCTCGATTCCTCCTTTTACGCGACCTCCTCTCCCCACCCTCCTCATCACTATCCCTGTAGACGACCCCAAGACGGCCCGAAAAGGCCTCGAGAACCCCACGATGGCCCACGAGGCATCCAAGACGGCCCGAAGACGGACCAAGAGGGCCTCTGGAGGCACCCAAGACGGACTTAGAAAGCTCCTGGACGGCCCAAGGCGGCTCACGACAGCACCAAGACACCCCCAATACGGCCAAGAGGGGATGTGACCACTCGAAAGCAAGCACCAGCCTTGCGCTTCCTCCTCCTGCTCCTCCTCCTCCTCCTTCGCCTCGTCTTCCTCCTTCTCCACTTCATCGTCCTCCTCCTGCTCCTCCTGCTCCTCCGCCTCGTCATCGTCATCACGCTCATCATCCTCACTCTCATCATAGCTCTCCCAATCCTGGAGATAGGAGGTGTCACACGTGACAGCCAGCCTCCCGTACCCCATCGAACAAAGGCCACCCATAATGCTGGGCTGGCACGGTGGCGGGACTTGCCGCAGGCAGCTGGACAATGCGGACTGAACCGACATGGCTAGAAAGACAACGGGGAGCAGGACAAAGCAAGAGGAGAAACATCGGGGAAGCAGGCGGCGAATCTGAAGAGGAAGCAGAAGGGCAAGCAGCAATAGCAACAAGGGTTGCCACCACGGCGATGCCCGATCTCCTCCCTGATACAGGACGTGGATGGTCTTCTGGGGAGCGGGGTTGTCGAAGCAGGAGATTCGCTCCTGGCTTGCCGTGGGCTGCGAAAGAGGTGTACAGGGTCTGGCTTGAATAAAGAACACTCACCTCTCAAAAGGGGCTCGGTCGTTCCTTTGGTTTGCATGCGTTCCGCTACCTTTTTGGCGGCGAGCCCCCCTGGTGTTCCTTCGGACTTCCTAGACTTACTTGGAACAAAATCGTTCCTTATTTATCGTTCCTTAGGTCAGGCCGAATCCTGTACAGTAGGAAAACAGGGGAAGGCGGGGAGGAAGAACGAAGAAGGATTGAGGAGACGAGAGGCGACAGACGAGACGAGCGCCTAGATGCCCATGGGGGCACGGCACAGGGGGCCGTGTCCTGCGCAAAGATGGCGAGAACTTTCACCGGCAAACTGACAGGTCTCTCGTATTGCGAAGCCGTGGACACGAGCCAAATAGCGAAACGAACTCTATACGCCGACGTTTTGCTCTGGCCCTGCACCGACACTTGCACAGGAAAGCGGATCCTGACGTATACGGGATCCTGGCGTATACATGTTTCGTCGTTTCCCCGGGAAAACGGGGACAAAGTATACACCACACCACCCTGACGTCATCCCCGCCCCTCATGAAGTCCTGGGATTGAAGAACAGCCCGCCACTGGTGTATATGCTCCAATTTCCGACCAAGGTTGGGAGACAGACTCGGAAAACGGAAGCCGGAATCGGAGAGGCGAGGGACAGGTGGAAAGGGGGGTCTGGGTGGGGGAGCTGGATAAGTGAGGGAGGTGAGGAAGGGGAGGGGAAAAACACAAAGAAGAGGTGGAAAAAGGAAACAGGTGGAAGGACGGATGACGGAGAAAGGCAGGGCAACTAAATGACAGGAACGACACCTAGCTGAAGGGTGAGACATGCGATATGTTAGAAAATATGCGGCGCAAGCTATGAGATGCAATCTCTGCGGTATAGGCTATGTGGCACAGGCTGTGGTACAAAATACGAGGTGCTACCGATGAGGCGCAATCTACGTGGAGCTTAACTATGCGGCGCATCCGATGTGGTAGAATCCATGTGGTGCCAACCAAACGGTGAAAGCAGATGGCGCGCGGGCTACAACAGGCTATGTGGCGCAAGGTGTGTTGCGCAAATTACGTGATGAAAGCCCCTGGCAGACTCCGACTCTCACGTTCTGTGGCGCGATCTGCGCGGCGCGTGAGCATGCGTCGGAGTCTGCGCGGCGCAGACTGTGCGGAGCACGACTGTGCAACCACTGGACGGGGCGGAGACGAGGCAGCTATGGGCGGCCACGTCTTGAACAAAAAACATAAAACAACAACAAAAAACAGCGATGGGGTGGCGACGGGCGGACACCGCACACGGGGAGGGCGACGGTGCGGCGACGGGAGGCCTCTGGACGAAAACCTGGCAAAAATTTCCCCAAGCACACTAAAAAGCCAGCAACCGACCTCAAACGAAGCAGTGTTACTGTTAGGTCGGGCATGTCCCCCCTACAGGAGGCTTTGGGACGAAACAAAAATAAAAAATACACCAAAAAATACCCCAAAAGGGTCAAGAATAGTGAAACAATCGTCCCCTGACTATGTTTAACTGTTCTTGAATACTCCTCCTGCAGAGGGACAGGCCCGACTTACTGTCACTGCTGCAGACGCTGCGCTGGGCGGCGACGAGGAGGCGACGGGCGGCCAGCAGGCGACGCCCCACGCCCGCACTCCGGCCCTGGGCACTTCCCCATGCGGTCGCCTGAGCTTCATGGACCCAGACGCCCATCTACGGGGCGTGAAAACGACCACAGCCACTGCTTTTCTTTTGATGCCGCCTTCCAGCCTGCAGCAACAAAGCAGTGGTTGTGGTCATTTTCGTTGAGCTTGGCACCAGGGAAATGACCACAACCACTGCTTCTTTTTCGGCCGGCTGGAAGGCGGCGCAAACAAGAAGCAGTGGCTGTGGTCATTTTCCCGTCCCGCACCATCACACCCATGATGCACCAACTCCTTGACCACCCCGCTCCCGCCGCTGGGCCGCGCGGACACCTCGGCGCCCGGCGCGCGCCGAAGCCTCGCAGCGCCACGGGCGCCAGCGCCGCGTCGCGCCCCAGGCGCGGGCCCCATGGGCGACCTCGGGACGGGGCGAAGGGGGGGGACATCCCTGGCGAAGGGGCGCCCACCGCGAAAATGGCACGCCGGCGACGCGCCAAGGGCGCACGCGGGCGCGGCGCGAAGCAGCCGCTCCATAGGGCACGCGCGCCTGCGCAACCGCGGGAGCGGGCGCCGGCCCGGCGCAGGGACGGCGCGGGCCTGCGCGCAGCAACCCGCGGCGCGCCACGCCGCGCACCTGCGGGGCGGCGAAGCGCGGCGACTGCCCGCGCCCGCGGCCGCCGCCGCGCGCCACGGGGGCCCGCCGCGCGCGCGAGATCGCGCCATGATCGAGTGGCGCAACTTGGAGGCCTGGAAATGGGCACCAACACCAACTTAAGGGGTTGCATCCACAGGGGGAAGATGATCTTAGATTCGGTGTTGGTAGCAATATTTCGGTCACCTTGGAAGCCGTAGTATTACCACCATCACCGAGATCGGGATCTTCTTCCCTCGGTGGAGGCACACCGCCGATATTGGTGTTGGTGTCAACCTCTAGGCCTGCGAGCAACGCGCGCCAACTCCTCGAGCTCCCCGCGCGCCCGCCGCCGGGCCCGGCAGAAGCCAGGGGCGCACACGCCGAAGCCGCGCCTCGCCCTCGGGGCCGAGGGCTCGAGACGTCTGTGCGGGTCCCCCGTCTGGGCCCCCTCTTGGAGTCGTCCTGGGGGCTTCTGGGGCCGTCGTGGGAGGGTTCTTGGACCTTCTCGGGGGCCCTCTTGGGCCGTCCTGGGGCCTCCTTGGGGGCCTCTTGGGGCGTCTTGGGGTGCTCTTGGAGGCCTCCTGGGCCGTCTTGGAGCGTCAGGGAGCCGAAAAGGCGAGCACGCCCAAATCCTTCAAAAACCGATGGAACATCGAAGGATGTTGCTTCCTGGGGCAAAATCCCACCAGCCCTTTAGGGCGTCGGTGGTTTAACGAGTTTCCTCTTCCACCCCTCCTTCTTCCCCTTCGGGGAGGGGTTTACCCCTCCCCCTACCCCCTCCCCACTGACCTGGACAGGGGGGGTGGGGAGCGGTCAGAGCGTCCAAAACGGCCTCGCCGAGGAAGCCAAAATCACTGATTTGACTAAGGTTTTGGGCCCATTTTGGCCTTCTCAGGGGGCAACGCTAATTAAGGCTCCCCTCTTCTTTAAAGCCAAAATCATTGATTTTACTAGGGTTTTGGCCCCATTTTGGCCTTCTGAGGGGGCAGCGCTAATTAAAGCGCCCCTCTTCTTTGAAGCCAGAATCATTGATTTTACTAAGGTTTTGGCCCCATTTTGGCCTTCTGAGGGGGCAGCGCTAATTAAAGCTCCCCTCTTCTTTGATCGATTTCCTCCAAGATGGCCCCAAGAAGCGCCCAGGAGGCACCAAGAGGCCCCAAGATGGCCCCAAGAGGCCCCCAGGAGGCCCCCAAGAGGATCCCAAACGGCCCAAAGAGGCCCCCCCGAGGCACCCAAGACGCCGAAAAGCCCCTCAGGACGACCCTCTACTCGCCTGGGCGTCGTTTCTGGACGGGCTGGTGGGGATACGCGAAGCGTCTAGAATTGGGAATGCTCTTTGAAGCTTCTTCGGGCGTCTCTTGCGCTGTCTGGACGCCATCTAGGGCGTCCGGGAGCGGTTTGTGGGCATCTCGGAGCCCTCTTGGACCGTCTTCGGGGCCTCTTGGGGCACAGGGTCCCAGAAAATGCACGCGACAAAACTCGATCGAACCCAGGAGGACTGCGACCAGCCCCAATTGGCGTGCCCGACTCGCGTGCCCGACAAGCGTGCCCGCCTAGCGCGCGCGCGCGCCCCGCGGACGAGGCTCCATCCAGGCCACGCGCGCGCAGGGATAGAGTTCGACCGCTCGGAGACCCCTCGCCCTGACAATGAAGCAAGAAGGTCCCCCGCGGGCAGGGCAACTTCAGAAGCTTTTCGCGAGCCGTTATCTCCGGGAGGCGGGAGAAGGGTGGGAGCGGAGGGAGGAGGGGAAGGGGCGAGGAGAAAGGGGCGGGGAGGACGCGGGAGGGAGGGGGGGAAGGGGAGGAGTGTAGAGCGAGGAGGGGAGAAGGGGGAGGAGGCGGAAGGATGCCAGAACGGATATTGGGGCCAGCCCAGCCACATACTTCCGGCCGCGCCTCTCGTAGACGTGCACGTTCACTCTCCTCCGCCCGCCACTGGCGCCGCCACACTTCCCATCCTCACGGTCCCCCCCCTCCTCGTCTTCTTTCACCTCCTCCTCCTCCTCCTCATCATCATCCTCATCCTCATCCTCATCCTCCTCCTCGTCCTCCTCCTCCTCCTCCTCCTCCTCCTCCTCCTCCTCATCATCATCATCATCATCATCATCATCATCATCATCATCATCATCATCATCATCATCATCATCATCATCATCATCAGCATCATCATCATCATCATCATCATCATCAGCATCATCATCATCATCATCATCATCATCATCATTCATCATCATCATCATCATCATCATCATCAGCAGCAGCATTATCATCAGCAGCAGCATCATCATCATCTCATCATCATCATCATCATCATCATCATCATCATCATCATCATCAGCAGCAGCATCATCATCATCATCATCATCATCATCATCATCACAATCATGTCATCATCATCATCATCATCATCACCACCAGCTTCATCAGCATCATCAGCATCTACATCAGCATCATCAGCACAACCACCAACAACAACAACATCAGCATCAGCATCATCATCATCAACAGCATCATCATTATCATCATCTGCAGCATCATCCTCATCAGCACCATCATCATCAGCAGCAGCATCATCACCATCATTATCAGCATCCTCACCATCATAATCATCATCATCATCAGCATCATCATCAGCAGCAGCAGCATCATCATCATCAGCAGCAGCCACATCAAAAGTGTCAGGCCCATCGTCTGTATCATCGTTATGATCCTGATCATGATCATCATCATCATCAGCATCATCAGCGGCGGCAGCAGCGGCAGTACCAGCAGCATCATAGAGTCATCATCACCACCATCATCGTCGTCGACGTCAATCATCATCAGCAGCAGCACCACCACAATCATCATCATCTGCCACATCATCATCAGCATCAGCATCATCAGCATCAGCATCATCATAATCAGCATCAGCAGCAGCCGCTGTACCATCATTACTCTGCCATCATCATCAGCATCACCCTCATCATCATCAGCATCGTTATCATCATCACCATCATCATCATCGTTATTGGAATCGTCATCATCAGCATCGTCGTCTTCATAATCACCATCGCCAACAGCATCAGCAACATAATCGACATCGTCATCACGACCACCACAACCACCGTCATCATCATCATCAGCAGCAGCATCATCGTCGTCGTCATCAGCAGCAGCATCATGCTGCCAATCTTCCTCCCCATGTTCCCTCCTTCCGCCGCCCCCCCTCCCACGGAAGCAGTTCTCTGTTGGAGCGGCTTCATCAGCGAGCACGCCGCCATCTCGATGCCGCCACCCCAGCCGCTCACAGCCTGAGGGCGACAGCAAGCCCTCCCCCTCCCCCCCATCAACGCCCCATGTCGCAAACAATATCATCAGACTCCCGAGGACCTCGAAAATACAAACAAACAAAAAACAAAAAAATGCATAGTTGCACCACGCGGCTTCATGTACTACCTACTGCCTGCTAGTCACACTCAGAATCCCATACTCCTCACCCCCTCTCCATTCTGGACCTCACCCCCATTGTTAATCATCCTCAGCCTCCCTTCCCCGTCTGCTCCTCTATCTCCTCCCCCCTCCTCCCTCCCCCATCCATCCCCCTTCCTTGCTCCTCCTCCCTCGCTTTCCTCATCCCCCCTCCTCATCCTCCTCCTCCTCCGCCTCCTCCTCCTGCTGCCTCTCCTCTTCCTCCTCCTCCTTCTCCTCCTCCTCCTCCTCCTCCGGCCCCCAAGACGCCCCCAGAAGACCCCCAAGAGGCCCCCAAGGCCCCCCCAGAGGCCCCCAAAGCGCCCTCAAGACGCCCCCAAAACGCACACAAGAGGCTTCCAGGAGCACCGCATATGTCCGAAGAAGTCCCGACATCCTTTCACACATCACCCTGATTAGGCGGCGCGCCCGGGGGGAAGTGCGAAGGAGTGGGCCTTCGCAAAGGCTCGGAAGTTCCCCGACCTTCTGAGAAGTGTTCTGAGCCTTCCCCGAAGACACAGAAAACTTCTCAGATGGCCGGAGCGCTTCTGGGAAGCCCCGACGCCATCTGAGAAGGCCTTCATCCCTCTCACTTCCCCCCTCGCTCGCCGCCGATTCACACATCACCCTCACGGAAGGACGACGACGAACGAGCGCAGGGAAGGAGGGACGGGCGGTGAAGAGAGGAGGCAGGGGGGCATAACGGAGGCCCGCGTTTTTGGGTTTGGCAAGTTCCTCTCTCTCTCTCTCTCTTTCTCTCTCTCTCTCTCTCTCTCTCTCTCTCTCCCTCTCTCTCTAGGACCAACGGATCAGGGGCCGAGACCGAGGAGAGGGGAGAGGAGCACACTCCGAGCGCTCTCCAATGCCACGCGGAGCCCAGGGGCGGCTCCAAAAGGCGGCCCGAGAGCGGCGGTCGGAGCCGACAGTTCGAGCCTCCCGCCCACCGATGGTCCCAGGAGCCCCCAAGGGACAGACCCCCGGAGGCCCCAAGGAAACCCCTGCGGCGCCCCAGGCAGCTGGAAGCGGCGGCGCCCAAAGGGGCCTCAAACGTGTCTCCAGAGCGCCCCCGAGAGCCCTCACACGACCTCCTGCGAACACCCAAAAAGACTGCTCCGTAGTGAAGATATTTCGAGCGGGAGCCGCTCTAGGAGACGTAAAGTTGCAAAGACATCCCAGACGGGATCCTGTCAGAGAGAGAGAAATACGAGAATATATCTATATATACATATATACATATATACGTATATATGTATACGGTTGGGCGGGCGCCCCTCTGGGCCTGCACCCCCTTCTGGTCGGTGTCAATTCCTACGTTCACTCGTCAATCCTGCCTCCGACCTATCTTGCCTCCTTGCCCTCATCTCCTCCTCCTACCTGCCTGCGCATCTTGCCTCCTGGGCCTCCATCCTCCCGTCTCGTCCGTCTTCCCTCCTGGCTGCCTCATTCCTCGATTCGCGGGGTGCATGTCTGGACCACGTGCCACTCCATGTGTGGACTCCTACGGGCCTCGTGGGGGCTTCTTGGGGGCCTCTTGGTCCCTCTTGGGTGCCGGTTTGGGACCTCCTGGAGCCGTTTTGGGCGAGCTTTGTGAAGGTGTCTGGCTCTTCTGAAGCCGTCTTGGGAGCCTCACGGGGCCGCCTTGGGACTCTCTTGGGGTCTTCTTGGACCGCGGCCTCTTGACGAGGACAAAACGAGGGAAGCGGAGAGGTCAAAGGCAGGGTGAGGCAAGAGGATCGAAAATAGGAGGGCGAGGGAGGGATGAGGGACGAAGATACCATAATGTGGACGAGGTTTGGGGAAGCAACAGAGAGCGGAAGAAGGCAGGAAGAAACGGGAAAGAGAACGATAGCCACGAAAAGGTGAGTGAGGAATGGACCAGAAAACGGACGACACCACCCCACCTACGGCCCCAGGGGGCTTAACGTATACCAGGAAATCTGGCGTGGGCTTTTGCATGGTATGCGCTACGGCGCCCGATGGGCCGTAGCGCAACACGGAGGGCCGCAGGTGGGGTGGTGTCGCTCGTTTGCTGGTCGAAGGAAAGCAGTGCCGGAGGAGAATGAGGAGTCCAGCATGTTCCAGTTTGCATCTCCCAACGCCTCACACAACCTAGAAACAGAGCGCGCGAGGAGCGCGCGCGGATGTTCCCAGCCCTTCTTGACACGAGTATGAGAAACCCTAAGCTTAGGCGCTGGTTGGGGAGAACCCTGGCCCCAGGGCAATGGCACCGACAGACTTCCGGCAGATCCCTCGGCCTCGGCGCCCTGTGCACGCCGCTCCTGGGGAAACCAGAAGGTACCCGTACCGCTGCTCCCCAGACCGCTCCCAGGGTGCCGACCAGAACCTCGAGGCGAATCCGAGGAGGCCCGAAAAGGCGAACACGAGGCAAGGCTGGCCGTATCGGTACTCCAGATTTCGCCATAAAAGGGAAAAGGGAAGGGGGTCACAACCCTCGCAGACGGGCAATTCCAGACCCCCCCAAACAAGCCATGAAGGGCGGCTTTTTGCCCAGACCCATTGGAACCCTCCAAGACAGCTCCAATCTGACCCCATCCGAAATCAGACCACCCCCCTTTTATTACGAAATCTGGAGTACCTGCTCCTCCTGCGACCTCCGTCGCTCGCACGGAGTGGGCACGGCTGGGGCAGCGCCTACCTATGCAGGCGTGAGACTCGGCAGAGCAGCAGCCTCCGCGGCGAGCGGAGCCAGAAACGCGACGTCACGGTGCGCGGTGCTCTGCTCGGGACTCCGCCGCCCTAATGCAGTGACCTAATGCAGTGACCGAATGCAGTGACAACAAAAACAAAAAACCAAAAAAAACAAAAATAAAAATAAAACAACAAAACAACAACAACAATAAACGGGGGGGGAAACAAAAAAACAAAAAAAACAAAAAACAAAAAAAAACAAAAAAACGGCGGGGGCCCCCAGAGGTACCTACGGTCGACGCGCACAGTAAGGATGCGAGACAATGATGCAAGGGCCCTGGAAGGCCATTTCGACACTTTTCGAGCGGGGCGCGGCCAGCGAAAGCGGCAAAGGGTGGGCCGCATGCGAAGGCTGCAAGGGCAACCTTGGAGAATCGCTCGTGCTCACTCTGCCCGTTCACTGCACCACCTCCTCGGGGGCGGCGTTGCATCCTCAATCGTTTTCTGACGGTCCTGGAGCTGGGAGCCGGCCTTCAGATGCCGAAAACGACACAAAAAGAACTGTCGTAACGAATTCTCGGGACGCCTGGACCCCACCACCCTTCCCTCCAGGATCAGTCGTCATCGAATCGGTAAGCCCGATCGAATCGAGACGTGCGTCGGCACGGAGCCGAAATCGAAGCGCGCCCGCTGCGCCAGGATGCACAACAGCGCCCCGTGCAAGCATCGGGCCGCAGTAAGGGCCGTGTCGGCGGAGGATCGCCGTCGAGTCGGAGGGGGCCGGCCGCAGCCGCTACCGAATCGGATCGACCGGATCGGCACTGGGCCCTGCCCTAATGCGGTGACCATGGAGGAAGAAAAAACGCGATGCGATGCGATGCGATGCGATGTGATGCGATGCGACCCGCATTCCAGCCCCTATGGGGCGGTCCTCTCAGAGGGCAGGCGTATGGGACACGCAGTCCCGGTGACCGGGTGCACTGGAAAATGCTTCGCGCCAACTTGTGCAGTCCCGGTGACCGAGTGCACTAGAAAAAATGCCATAAACATAAACTGTTGGCGCTCCGCGCGGATTTCTTGGGTCCGCGCTGGACCCAATGCCCTGGCGCGCGAATGCCCTGGCGCGCGGAGCGCGCCAGGGGCGGCGCCAGAGGCGCCGCCAGGGGGCCCCAGCGCGGACCCAAGAAATCCGCGCGGAGCGCCAAAAGTTTATGGCGATTTTTTCTTAGAAACTACCACAACCAACTGTTCCACCGTTTGTGCCCTGCCTCCACCCCGCGGGCGGCGGCCATGCGTCTGGCGTAGGCTTGGACGGAGGCGTTGGCGTCCCACCGGATCCACTCCTCCAGGGTGTCGCCTGGCGGCATGGGGCGGGCGGGGGCCTGGGAGGAAAGGCCGCGAAGGAGAGGATCGAGGAGGACCGAGGAGGAGGAGGAGGATCGAGGAGGATGATCAAGAAGGATCGAAGAGGCGGATCAAGCAGGATCGAAGAGGGGGACGATCGAGGAGGAGGAGGAGGAGGAGGAGGAGAATCGAGGAAGGAAGGCTCCGTCACGAGGAGGAGGATCGAGCAGGATCGACGGTCGAGGCGTTTGGGCGCGCTGGGACTGGTGCATCGATCCTGCTTGCTGGCAGCAGCGCCGAGGAGGACAACGGAGACGGAGGAGCGCGAGAAGGGCCGCGGCGCCTGCTCCAAAAAAGGATATACTCGTAGCCATCGCTCGTTACCGCAGGCATGTGTTGGTCAGGGAAGGCACAAAAATTGCCAGGCCCGACTCAAGCCGATTCCTTGGGGGGCTCTGGGGCCCCTGGGGGGCTCTCGGTTACAGCGCCTCGTATGATTTCTCCTCATCTGCTTTGCTATTTCTATCTCTCTCTATATATATATATATATATCTCTCTCAAACTTTCTCTCGTAATCTCCGCTTATGATCTCCATTCAGCTCCTTCTGTGGGAAGCTGTCAGGAAGCAGACGCAGAGGGGTAGGAATGGATGGGGCGCACCTGATACGTAAGGTCTAGCCGAGGAAGCTTCCCTGACCTGCCGTCGAAGACTCGCCCTTTCCTCTCTTCCCCCAAACCAAGGTTGGCCAAGGCGAAAAGCGCAACCGAAAACCGACTGAACCGACAGCGAAACGGGCCGCAGACGGATCGAAGGGCGCGGCGACGCGCCAACAGCACGACGGCCGATCGAACCTGACCAAAAATCAGCCGACTGCGACGCAGCCGAATCGACCTGCACCGTTGCAGCACCTTCTCCCTCGCTGCCCCTGCTCTCTGGGGAGGTGGGGGGAGCATGAGGGCATCGAAGGTAAGGCCTGGCTGACGAGGCTCGTCCGACCTGCTGCCAAGGGATCGCCCCTCCCGTTCTACCACCAGACCCCTCTTGGCTGGCGGAAAACATATTCGCATCCACGGCCTCGCTGACCTCGTGTCTACGGCGTGTTTTTTCGCGGACGCCCCGCGCGGAACGTATCCACGCGACTGCGTATCCGCGGTGCCGCGCCCCGGAATCCAGACCGCGAAGACGTGGATGTGGAACGTTCACCGGTCGTACTTTCGCCGGTCGTGATCTCCCTCGTTGCTGATGCCCTCTCCCCC